TAAATAATAAGAAAAATATAGTTTGAAAAAATGAAGGATTATTATTAGTTAGTATATTGATATGTTATGATTGCAATTGCTGTAAAAACATAAACAAAGAAAAAAGTGAAAAGTGTAATCCACTATCGTACTTAAAATGGCGGTAACATATATATAATTTTTATGCATTTGCATGATATGGGCCGCCCTGGAAGTGCTGTTAGGTATTATATCAAGTCGGCCTTCAAAGCAACTCACCAATTGGTGTGGCCTCCCTGTTAGCCGAATCCTAGAGTGTAGCCCATTTTTCAGAGTTCACTGCGTATAGTTAATAGTAGGATTTTGCACAGATTTGGAAATTATAAATCACAAACAATAAAAACAGTAATGCTCTCTACAGAAGGCGTGCTGATAGTTGTCTTCCTTTCTTGGGCGTTCCTGACAGTGATCACCCATCAGGGAGGCTGCTTTACGGATACCATGAAGGTATTCGTTGAAGCAGCCGTGGTCAGGCATCACTTGCGTGAGACGATTGTCATCTCACCATTAGTTCAGACCATTTATTTTTCCAGTAGGTCCGATAAGGAACTTGGTTCACTTGCCTCTTAACTCCTTAAAAAAGAGGCGAGTCTGCCACCAAATTATGGTCATCTGTCTGAGGGCCAGTCGGTCTTGGGGTTCGAAAACCGGTCAACCCAACCCAACTTAACGTTTGTGGTGCAATTTATCCCCGGCAACTCGCTCCTTGGCCAGCAGGTTGGNACATCACTTGCGTGAGACGATTGTCATCTCACCATTAGTTCAGATCATTTATTTTTCCAGTGGGTCCGATAAGGGACTTGGTTCACTTGCCTATTAACTCCTCCAAAAAAGGCGAGTCTGCCACCAAATTATGGTCATCTGTCTGAGGGCCAGTCGGTCTTGGGGTTCGAAGACCGGTCAACCCAACCCAACTTAACGTTTGTGGTGCAATTTATCCCCGGCAACTCACTCCTTGGCCAGCAGGTTGGGGGGCAGCCCTGATGACCGGATACACAAAGGTATGCCGAATTGGTCCGAATTGCAACCCGCCTTTACACCTTGAGCAAGGTATCGCAGTTCTTGACTTGATGTGTCCGCTGAGTCATACGAATCTTTTGCGAATAAGAATAAGAGACGTTTGACCATGACCAGATCCAAATACGTCATGGTGTCTCTACCTCCAGCACGACGCGCCAGGAGGAGTAAAACCAATAAAGAGATTCTAAATAACATAATTGTTCTATGCAATGAATTATTTCCAAGTGGCCTACGTCTTTTCAGTCATCCATTCTGGGATCTAGGGTAGATGCGAGCTCAATTTTTTGCACAATACACTAGCGTTATGTTTTATGTATTGAAATTTTTGTACCACAAAAAAGTTTTCAGCCGAGAATAAAATGTGTAAGGATTATTTTAAATTCCAGCAATTGAAAATAGAATGTACAATGGTGTAGATTTGATGTAGAATTCTAACCAATAGCGAATTCCACGGCCGTTCAAAAGTGAAGGACATACTAATATTTAAATTATTTGAAAATAATATTGATTTATTATGAGAATATTTAGGTTAAAATTGAGATAGGTAAAACTTATTTGGCTACAAATATTTTGAATTGTTCAAAAAATATGTGTCACTTAATTAAGGTAGAACTCTCTTTTTGGGGATAAATGTTCTATTTATAGCTCACAAACTGGTTTAGCGATCTGTAATGAGATTCTTAAGATATTTTTTGTTATACTTGATTGGTCAATATGATAGGATCTTTTGCGTAGGTGTTTTATGGAATGCGTAAGAAGGTAGTTGATTTTTGTGTAAAGGTATTATTTTTTTATTCATCTTATTCACAGGGAACATTAATGGGTGACATCTTTTTATTAAGTCTATGTATTAATGTTACATGTATGTTATTAATATGTGTTACTACAAGTGACTGCACTGAGTCGCACAGTTCGTTCGGGATCCAGTCTTCTCAACCAAGGCGCTTTCCGCCACCACCAGCGTGACAGCCACGTAACATATCACGCGGAAGTATGGCAGCAGCTAATCGCCGAACACCGCATTGTACGTGGCGGCGAGACTAGATATCCAAAACGCGTTCAACTCCGTGCGATGGTCACACATCTTAGGAGTTCTAGATACGTTTTGGATGCCTCCGTACCTCGGAATAATAATTCTGTCGCACTTCAGCGACCGGATCATCGCCTACAAGAACGCTATGCGAGTGGGTCTTGCGGGAAGCCGTCCGTTACGGGTTTAGTTTATTACAATGTTGAAGTGAAAATATTTTTTAACGTATATTTAATAAAATTCTTTTCGACTGTTATTCAATTATACTATTATGTTTATTAATAGAATTTTTTGTTAATGTATAAATTAAATGTATTCAATATATTCCAAATATTATTTGGAAATGGTAAGTTTAAAATAAATTGTAACGATGTTAATGTGTAAATACTTAAATAGTGGGTCAGCGGGTTGGCACGACTAAGCGTGTGAAGGATCACGTGCATGGCCACTTTGTTGTTTTCCGTGCGCAATTGCAGTTCTGTTATACTTACTACTAATATTTTATGATTTCAAACTCATTTATCGTTTGGTCTTTTATCTTTTAGGTCTTTAAATATATAAGTAACCCAAATAACGAGATACCAACGTCTATGGAGGTAATATATTACTTAAATATAATAAAATCTCTAAAGCCTTCCTTCTGAAAAAACGTCTGATTGTATCATTGAATTATGCTGTATATAATTAAGTAGGCATTATTGATTAATCATAAAAATATTGCATTAAAAAAAAGGCCTAACAAGTAGTAGGTGATAATCATAAAATTACTCAACTTAAGAAATTTTCCATACAGTATTCAATAGTAATAATAAAAATCAAAAGTTTGATTATTATTTGTATTTCTCTAGGTTAATTTAAAAAACAATGAAAAGATGGTACTTTCTTTCAAAAAGGTAAGATTGCTCTGATTTTGTACAATAAAATAGATGTAATATAGTTTCAGTAAATGACAAATTTTACACTAATTAATTTTATTTAAAATAAATATTTCTCAATTTATAGATGATAAAACATTTTTAGATCTATAAACAATTAATTAAATAATACATTTTTATAACTACTGATTCATTACTAAAGAGAGAATGTAATAAAAAAAGTAATTTTGATAAATCTAGAGCATATTACTACTACTATTTTATTATTTTAAAGTCATTTATCGTTAGTTTTTTTTATCTTTAGGTCGTAAATCCTCGAAGTGACAAAACCATTGCGATATCAACGACTACAAAAGTAATGTTATAAAATTCTAATCTAAAAAACTGACAGTGTTTTAAGTCAATGAAGTGAAATAATAATACCGGGTTCATTTACATTAACAATGATCAAGGCAGAAATTGGAGTCATATATTATTTAATGTGATATCAAAATCACATATTCAGCAGGTTTATATTAAAACACATCATTAATTAATTTTACCGAACAACTTGAGAATATTTGTCACTTATAAAACGTATACAAAAATTATTGATTTATTTGTGATATTTTCTTCTCATAGGCAGTTCACTCAAACATTATATTTCATTGAAATAAAATAACGTTAAATCATAACACAACATTTTAATTAATTCATAATTTCTAATAATTACTGAAATTAGTATATATAAAATATTGTAATTTTGAAAAATTTTACAGGAAGAAAATAATACACCAGAAACACAATGTACACTTATAAAGGTATTGATAAGCAAAATGATTGATTTATAATTGATCAATAAATTTATCTTAATTAAGTAATGATAAAGGGAATATTTTTATGGTTTTCTTTGGTATTATTTATTTGTCTATTTATATGTAATTAAATATTTTTTAGACTCATAAATTAATTAAACCATAAATTTCTACAACTACTGATATATTAGTAAAATGAGTATATATTAAAAACAGTAATTTTGAAAATTTTACAGGAAGAGAATAATACGCCAGAAACACAAATTACACTTATAAAGGTATTGATATACAAAATGATTGTGTTCATCAAAGATCAATCAATTTCTATTAATTAAAAAAATTTTAGATCTATAAATTAATTAAACAATAAATTTCTACAACTACTGATATATTAGTAAAATGAGTATATATTAAAAACAGTAATTTTGAAAATTTTACAGGAAGAGAATAATACGCCAGAAACACAAATTACACTTATAAAGGTATTGATATACAAAATGATTGTGTTCATCAAAGATCAATCAATTTCTATTAATTAAAAAAATTTTAGAGCTATAAATTAATTAAACAATAAATTTCTACAACTACTGATATATTAGTAAAATGAGTACATATTGTTGTGCGGGCCCACGTGGTAAAAGGAATTGAACTTAATAAAAAAACGAAAACACTCACTTTTCAATAAAACTTTAGAATATATAATTTGATTGACACAATTAATAATACAATATACGTTATTTATTAATATTAATACAAATGAATAGAATAATAAAATAGAATGACCTAGAATAATATAGAATGATTTAGAATGATATAGAATGAGTGTAACTAGCGCATACTAAACCATGACTGACTGTAGGGTACCTACAGTGGGAGTCCTTTGCCCATGGTTGCCCTATAACCCTTGGTCAGCACATTCCTGTGTTCGACAGTCGGACGACTATGTATTATATACTCTACACAATTATAAAATAATATTCAGGGGTTCTTAACAATATTAAAAAAAAGTAATTTTGAAAAATTTTACAGGAGGAGCATAATGCACCAGAGATACGATCTACAATTACAGAGGTAATAATATACAAAATGATTGATTTATCGTTAACAAATAGATTTCTTCTAAAATAATAACGATTTTAATAATATTTTCATGGTTTTGTTTGGTATTATTTATTTCTTGATTTATAATCGATTANTTTGTTTGGTATTATTTATTTATTGATTTATAATCGATTAAATATTGTTTATATCCATAAATTAATTAAACAATAAATTCCTTCAACTACTTATTTATTAGTAGAATAAATGTAATAAACAGTAATTTTGAAAAAATATTACCAAAAGAGCATAATATATCAAAAACACAACCTACACTATTCATGATAATAATATAGCACAGTCTTTAATAAAATGTATAATTGTTACATTCCACGACTAAATTTAATTCTTATTAATTATAAGAACTAAATATTACTTATTTTTATAAGTATTTTATATGCAGCTTTTATTTTTATATAGAGATGATTGAATAGTTTTCTAGTTAAAATATTCATAAGTTTTTTAGTTTTAGAAATTTCTTAAGTGCACCTTTAATTATTCGTAATAATTCATAATAAGCTCATTCATTTTGGCCGGTGTTCATTGTAAAATAGTTGTGACAGATCCAATAGTAAAAATAATAATTGAGAGGAGAACATTTTACAGATCTCTCACGAATCAGAAATGACAACTATACTAGAGTGTCAGAGGTGTTAAGAACCCTCAAAACTAAAATGAACACCCCTAGAAATTTTGAGCAAAACAAATATTTCATGATGGTTATGATAATAATAATTTATTATTATACATAATTCCTACTAGTACTGCTAATTAGCCTAATTAGCATATACATTTTTTTCTCTTCGATTTATTACAATGTTCTAAAAAACATAACTTCATTTTAATCTGCATAAAATTAAATCTAGTACAATGTACTTTGAAATAGAAAAAGAAAACCAATCCAAAAACTTGATTCCTAAGAAATATTGAACATTAGACCATAAATTCATAAATATTTTAGTAAAAATCAACGAGTTTGTATTTTGCATAGCGACCGCACATCAATTTTATCATTACATTAATAATACATTTTATCATTCAAAACTACCTAAAATTTAAGTTTTAAAATTTAATCTCTTATTGAACTCTATAACGTTAGTCCGACCCGTCCGCCCACAAAACTAGGCTATACCTAGTGCATGATACGTTTACATACTTAAGTTGCTTTACTTGTATATATATATACAGGGTGGCCCACCACTCACTGACAACTTAAATAACTTTTGATCCAGTTAATATTTTTAGCTGATTTTTTTTTTAAATATTAGTTAGACGTTAGGTCTATAGCTATATCTCAATAATTAATTTTTTTACATTTTATTAAAAATATTAATTATTTTAAAATTTTAAATAAAAAGTAAAAAAAAAATCTAAGATAGCTATTTTGTAGAGTAGAATTTAAGAAAAATTTTTTTTATATATAATGTTTTTTTATAAAATGTTTTTTTAGTTTTTTTAAACTGTATTTTTAAAATTAAAGCCCTTTCAAAAATTTTAATGAATATTAAAACTTATTCAAAAATTGTTTTTCCATAGTTTAATAAATATTGTAGAATTCTGTGTAATTGTCAATATAGCGATAAGACCTATCGATAATTGAGTTAGTGTGTGTTTGAATCTCCGGCGTGTTTGGCCGGATCGTTAGGTGATCGGTTGTTTTTGTCTTTAATTATATTAACAAAGGTACTATTCATATGTAGTTTTTTTTTTTTTTTATTAATTTTTTTTTACAATATCATTATTATCTTAAACGTTGAATTACACATTATATATATACACATTATGTGTACATTTCATATACAGGGTATTCAGTAAGTCAGGAAACGGGTTTCTATTGTTCTCATTGTTTTTAACAATAGAAACCCGTTTCCTGACTTACTGAACACCCTGTATAGGAGATACATAAAGTATTGTAAAATAGAATAGATAATAGCGCACCCATTCAATTTCATTGTTTACCGATTGATCAAAATGTCATTTGTTACTTACACTGAAGTTCATGTTAAATATATATACAATTAAATGATTTTGATACTTGAGCTTGTAGCATTTTTAATAAAAATGAAAATTTTTAAATAGTAAAACAGTTATAATACATTGGCCGTATTCGAACATTAAAGTTGTTTCTCTCAGAACATATGCGGATACACACGAGCAGTGTTCGGACGACCAATATCGTGTGTGTGCGGTTAAGGTTAAGTTGCAATGTTATGTATGCGTTCTGGACATACAGTAAAATATTAGTATATTACTATGTTGGGTAATTTNACTGAACACTCTGTATATACAATTAAATGATTTTGATACTTGAGCTTGTAGCATTTTTAATAAAAATGCAAATTTTTAAATAGTAAAACAGTTATAATACATTGGCCGTGTTCGAACATTAAAGTTGTTTCTCTCAGAACATATGAGGATACACACGAGCAGTGTTCGGACGACCAATAGCGTCGTCCGAGAAATATGCAGAAACGTATACTATTAGCGAGGGGCCACAATCGTGTGCGTGCGGTTAAGGTTAAGTTGCAATGTTATGTATGCGTTCTGGACATACAGTAAAATATTAGTATATTACTATGTTGGGTAATTTATTTTTTAAATTAATACGTGTACGCTCGTCGATATTCGTTTGGTATAATGGTATAATCGATATTATTATTATTTTCATTTCTATTTTCTACTGCGACCTTTAAAATAATAATATGCGTATTGTGTTTTATTTTATTGTATTTAATTTGACAATTTTTTATGCCTATAACTAGCGGTATTATATTTTTAGTCACACCCCTACCATCAGCACCCGAGAGCCGCCACTGATTATACAGCTAATATTTTAACAGAAAAGTATAAAGACTAAATATTGATTTTAAATTCACAAGTTGACTTTTTTGCTGTGCAAAGCGGTTTGAATATAAAAAAGTTATGGCAGTTTCAATCATACAATTTTGTCTATAAACACTTAATTTGATATTATAATTTGATGGAGGAAAGGATCTAGATTATTTGGGTTGTGTTATATTTATTCCTACTGATTTTATCAAAATATAAATTTCATTAATTTTTAACTATTTCATCTAATCATTCTAAAATAACAATTATAATTTTTCAGAATGATATAACAGATGAGCAAATTGATTTGCTGACTTCTATTTATAATGGAGCGACTTCTAATGATACGAAAAAATTAACTATTGACGATTTGAAATCAATTTTTGCATGTTTTAGTCAGGACAATACTGATGAGGAATATGATATTATGATGAAAATTCTTGACTCTAAAAATGGTAATTATACAATTGTAGATATTACAATAGATTTCTATTGATGTAATTCAATAACTTTATAATAATTACAGATGATGAAACAGGACTCGACAAATTTTTGACTCTATTCAAATCCAAGAGTAGTAAAATAGAAAATGGGGAAATACTATCTACACGTAGTTCAGTTAATAATTATTTCATTAAACTATTTCAGTATTTTTCAAATGGAAAGAGATACCTNCAATTGTAGATATTACAATAGATTTCTACTTGAACCAGTGGCAGTCTTAAATCATTTTTTTGAGTAACAAGAAAATAAAATTGCTACAGTCATCAATTTATAGTTAATGCAAAGAATTGTAATTTTTCTAAAATATTATAAGAGTAAACAAGTAAAAAAATGTTCGAATTGATATATATATAATAATTCCATTCCTAATTATTTTACTATGCCACAAATCATTTTTCAACATTTTTTGAGACGAAACCTTCAGTATAAAGTTTATACAGACTTAATAATAGTGTTATATTTGATTAAGCTTATCTATGTACATGTAATTCAATAACTTTATAATAATTACAGATGATGAAACAGGACTCGACAAATTTTTGACTCTATTCAAATCAAAGAGTAGTCAAATAGAAAGCGGGGAAATACTATCTACACGTAGTTCAGTTAATAATTATTTCATTAAACTATTTCAGTATTTTTCAAATGGAAAGAGATACCTCAATAGTGGTGATATAAATCATATGGTTAAAGTGATAAATCGTGTTGGTATGGGATGTCCTGAAGTAAATACTTTTAAAAAATTTTGCCATGCAAAAGGCCGAATTACTTATGATGGTAATTTAAGAATTTACACTTATAACATTAAAACTCATTTAACATTAAATGTAATCCATAAGGAATTAAATTGTATTGTTCTTATTATGAAATGTTGCAAATCGAGAGCGTAGTGTATTACTTTATTGTACCATATGAATTTAATGGGCTTCGTGAGTTATCAAAAAAAAAAAAAATGGTATCAATTTAGTTTCGATGCGTAGCTGAAAAGCTATAGATTTTGTTCTTTTATTGGTTTAATTTTTGTCACCGTATTCAAGATTATACTCGTTACTACTGTATCAATTTTGCTCAATAATTCGTCAAAAGACCACAAAACGTATCTTCATTGTTGTTAATTTGTTAATCCACGATCATTTTACTCGTACTTCAAAATTATCTATCAAAGTCAAAAATGCATAAATTGTTTTCAAAATGATTTTGAACGACAGATTTTTAAGAATACTCTGTATAATTAAAATAAAAAAAAAACCTTTGATTTTGATAAACGTCGAAAACAAAAGGACGAAAAAATAATAAAAAGTCTTTTATTATATTTTTTCAAATTGTTCCTAAATAAGAACTTGGAGAAAACGCAGAAATATACCATTATGTAGTATATTTTAAGCACTTTAAAATTATTATTTACTTTTATTTTTGAAAAATCAAAATTGACTATCAATTTTATAGGAAAACACGTATTTTTTTTATTTGTCCTTATTAAAAAAAAAACTAGAAATGGAAAAAATATGATAGAAAAACATTTTTAGATTTGTAATTATTGATTTGTGACAGTGATTAAAATCACTGTAATAAAACATTTAAATTAGTATTTTAACATATTAAAATATCTAACATATCATCCAAAATTACATAGTTTTTGACTTAAGAGGCTGATTATTTAAAGAAGATAAGTCAAACGTTTATCTTTATTAATGATCATATATTTCATTAAACTAGTGTGAATTTGAAATCTTATTATACAGTATAGTATAGTAATTAATGGATGTCGTGGTTGTATCGTATTTCCGGTGTTACCGCCGAATGGCGATCGCGGTGTTTCCTCTTCACGTCCGACAGATCGCGCTATGCTTGATTGTCGTCGAGGAGCGGGAACTGGTCACCTGATTCATTAATTATCTTTTTTAACCTGTCACGTTGATTTTTACTCCGCGGTAGATTTTCTTATATAACTGAATATATTGTCTTATTCATATAAAATTACTGTTCTCTTTATTGTAAACAATATTATAGTGTAATAAAATTTAGGACGAAGATTACTGCCGGATAATGACTAATATTATAAATACCAGCACCAGTTCCTCACTACACCAGTCTAGACTTTATATTTTTTAATAACTTCTTAATAATTTATCCAAAATTTATTTTAGACTAGTCACTTCCTTAATTAGATTATTTCCTATTTTATAGGCTAGTTAAGTATGTATGTTGCCATTTAAATATAATATAGTTAAGTCCCCTTGAATCATACTGGACGATTCTAAAAAGTAATTATTAGTTGATAAATCAAAAATTATATATGTAGCTAGAAGAAATAGAAAATTGGTTTTCCAATATTGTATTTATTTAGCAAGTAATCGAGTGGTTTATGATAAACCAGCAACTCCATATATGATTAATAAAAGAAAAATGTTCTTATTAATTTTTGATGAGCCTTTAAAATTTGTATTTTTAATATGTTTCAAATACATATCAAACCTTTTACAACAGTTGTTTTATTATCTTCAGTTATTTTTAATACTATGAATAAAGGCCAAAGAATGATACTTTTATTACACTACGCTAGATCCTTACTGTACTTAACTTTTTTTAAATATAACTATTATAGCAATACTTGATCAAAAATGATAATATCTGTCTTATAATTTTTTAAATAATTTACATAATTTTGATAAATAATAATATAATATTAAAATTATAGTGAATATTAACGATTAATAAATAGGCATGATTGCGCATTGAAGCGTTATAAGACAATGATTTAAGATATCAATCGATACTAATCTAAAAAATTCTTCAACTCACTTTGCTGGATTCCTACTGAATTATAATTTTTTGTACATATATGTTGCAGAGTTTTGTGCTATATTTAATAATTGAAGATAAACAAATGAAAATTATTTGATAGTTGAGTTGATACGGCAAATGATAACTCAAAAAGTTTAATAATGAAATATATTTGTTATATACTTTAAATTATATTTTCATATTTAAAATATACTTACTGGATATTTTTTATCAAAACTATTTTTGATAATTAGTTAGAATACAAATAAATAAAGTCATGTTTCCTTTTACTATGTTTGTTTTTATGTTAGTATATCGAACTGCTTATCTCCTACTGAATAATTTTACTCAATAATATGTAAAAAAATCTACTTAAGGGCTGTCCATAGATTACGTGACGCGTCTAGAGAAGGGGGGTCAATGTAGTGTCACGGGGGAAGGGGAAGATCACTGGCTGCTTAACGTGACGCATTACATTCTAATTAGCTTGATTTACATACATTAAAAAATTTTTTTTTGCCAAATTATCCACCCATCGGGAAATTGTTCATCATGTGACAAATTTCAATGACTAATACGTTAAAAGAACAAGATTTTAATCATGTTGGACTTGTAATCACTAAATATTGGAAAAAATCCTTTAATTTTAGAGATTCAGACAAATATCTCAAAATTACGCTAAACAAAAACCACTTCAAAAAAACTTTTTTTAATTAAATATCTCAGCATTAACAGTAGTGTAAAAAATTGGTTTTTATACTGAATTATACAGTAATATCAAATCAGTATAATAAATATTTTTTTTCTGATTATAGACCAATATATACTTTATCAAACCAAATTTTTATGCTGATTTCAAGTCTGAAATTAGATTTTTTCAATAATCTTTTTTGAGATAATCCAAATTAGAAACGCATAAAAATATTAATTTTTATTAATTTATTATAATTTTTGTTATATTAAAAATAATCCGTGCACAATTTAAATTCAATATGTCATTAATAACTTATATATTTGTTCCTTTAAAGTTGATATTTAAAAAAGTTTTAACACAATTTTAATTCAACTTGCAAGTTATTTTTAAGATTGATATGTGATAAGAAACTAATATAATTATTATTAAAAGTAAATTTACAAGGAAATTCAAAAATTCGATAAAACTGTTTTACATTAACTCAAAATAGTAGAATAATAGGTTGTGAACGTGTCCCTTTAAGTTTAATTGATCAACCAATAAGAAGTATCTTTCAATTAAAATCTAAAACATCAATTTCCCCCCTCAAAAACAGGCCTATAAAAGAACGATTTCTGGCTCATTTGTCACCTTTTTCTAAAAATCTGGTCATGAAGCATCTCTGCACTAGAATTTTTCGCGATTGTGCTCTATAGGATTTATAAACTTTTTCACACTTGGTGTTTTTTTATCTAACTCTCTCATAAGTAACGTAATTAAAAAATAACTTTTTTTTTTTAGTTTTAAATGTTTAAGAATTATTAAGATAATTATTTTTTTTATTTTGTGAGTTGTTTCGATTAAGAATTGTTTTAATTCTTCAATTTGAGTGTCTATTTAATAAGCGCATTTCGAAAATCTACCATGGCATATCTAGTGGTTGAAACTATTGGTAAAACAATAGTTTGTACATGTCAATAAGGATTGGTTCTCATACTCTATCAGATTCTATTAATTGTATTTAAACGAATAAAATAAATATGTATATTCAGATACCAATATAAAAAAAAAACACATCATAGTAAAATTAATACCTTCTCAGCTTCACATCGAAGCTAAAAGATTAGTTTCAACAATTTTTTAAACCGAGATCAATTCCAATAGCTATTAAAAATAAATAAGAAATGCACATTTTAAGCAAAAATTATCACTTAAAGTTTAAGTCTTAAACTAATAGTATACTTTTCTTCGTATGCACTAGATGTAGCTTTATATCATATATATCCTGATAATTCTAAAAAACTAGAAATTTGGTTTATTACATATTGTCTAAAGCATTAAGTTCCTGATATCTAATTTAGCACTTTGAAAGATTTAATTTAAGACAACAAAATAAAAATCTTCCTAATGTTGATTTAAGCAAATTTAAGTAAATGGCAAAAGTTTTGACAAAAATTATATAATCGTCTAAGTATTTTGGTGCGATCATCAAAAAAATTCTATATTTAATCATATTTACTAAATTTTGAACATATCAATTTACAATATTAATGAAACAAGCTAGCTAAATAAAAAATGTATTTTTGTAACAATTTTTAAAAACTTTTAAATATTTGCATTAAAATTAATAAAATATACTTGTTATATGATAATGTTAAGAAATATTTAATACATACAGTGATGTATCTATTATTATAGAAATTGGTATTTTAAATAATTTTATGACCCTTTTGCATGTTGGATTTCAAAACAAGGAATTCAATGATTAATATTTTTAATATTATGGTAAATTATATAACTATAAATGATATATATTATTATAATATGCATATAGCCTTATATATTAGGCTATATGCTTGCTAATATATATGTATATTAACTAAAAAAATTTTGAATCATTAAATTCTTATATCTAATTATAAACAATAAAAATTTGTTTATATTATATTTATATCGATGATACGCCCCCATGTACAGGTACGAAAAACAAAAATTATACAGGAAAATATAGTTTGTCGACGTATGGTGAGCGGGATGGGGTGAATGCGTTACGATAGCCTAATCTCAAGGCCATAGACGACGGGATACGCGAGATAATAACTAGTGATAGGAAATATTGAATAGAAACTATCGAACTATTAAAAATATTCGAATAGTAAAACATTAAAATCTCTAAGTGTCATTTAGTTTTTTTTAAGAAAAATATTCTAAGTCCAAATTAATTAGAAAAACGACCAAGTGTTTTAAAAATTGAAAAATATTCCAAGTCCAAATAAATTAAAAAATCGACTAAGTCCTAGAGAGTAAGAATCTTGAGTAGAGTGTCGCAGATTTTGTGTAATTTAAAATCGCCGAAAGAACTGATTTTAATAGGAAAAAATGGGTTTTTATAGTAGACGAGGGTCGTATAGCGATCCCTAGTGTGATCTTAGAAACTGTAGATCTTAATTAATAGTTAAATGTGATTGGCTGGACTTAATTGAAAACCCACACATGGGCGTGACTTTGAATCTGTACGATAATCAGATTTAATTGCCTAATTTATTGATTATTTTAAGTTTTAAATAAGGGAACCCTGTTTTGGTGATTTTGTGAATTCATAATATATGAAATACATGTACAAAAGATAACATAATATAATATTTTAATATTATAAGTAATAATATAATATTACATTCCTTCTAAAATTAGTAATAGTAACCCTTTCGTGTTTCAAAATAGACCTATTAATTCATTTAGCCCTTTCGGTATACTTTTCCATATTAATTACCTCTCAGATATCCTTTCTAAAACTTCTTCATTAGTAATTCTATCAGTCTAACTTATATTTTCAATCCTTATGTAGCACTAAATTTTGAATGCCTCTATTCTTCTGATTTCTTCTTTTGCAATAGTCCATGTTTCGCATCCATTTAAAATGATACACCAGATGTACGTTTTTCTTTATAATTTACTTTTTTATATCCTATCTGAACCTACAATGCAACCCAAATATGTGAAATCTTCTACTTGTTCTACAGTTACATCGCCCTTTAATTTTATTCTTGTTATTATGTTATTGTCTCTACTACATGGTAATACTTTTGTCTTCTTTGTGTTTTTCACGAAAATCTTTTTCTATGTTAATCTTCTAATGTTCTAAAAATCATTTTTAGTTCTTTTTCATTCTCTGCTATTATTGCAATGTCGTGCTCGAATGTCCTTGTATGTACTGTAAAATGTGCAGATCAACTTGAACACATCCAATCAGACCTAATCGACTTACTGTCTCTAAAGGAATTATACTTAAAATAATTTAATACGCTTAATAATTAATAAAATTTTAATAGAGTTATTCAGTGTTCTTATTAATTTCAGGTTAATGATAATAAAGTTTCATTATAAAGTCAGTTAGAAACAAAGCTAAATAAGAACAGTGTAAAATGGGAAAACTCGTTTTCTCAATGTACAAACTATTAAAACGTTCTTAATTCAATTTATTAATGTATAACTTTAAAGTTATGATAAAACAAGTATTTATTTTATTACAATTTGGCGAGTTAAAATGAAATAACTTTGTCAGGAATAAAAGAATAGTTAAACTGTGTTTTTTTTATATAGCATTACTATATACTAATCATAAGCCAGTTTAAAAAATTTTTAGTTATCCAATACAAGTTTTTCAATGGGAGAAAAATAATATAAATTTATAATTGAGGCAATACGGGAGAATTAAGAAATTTTTAATTATAAAATTAACTACAATTGAAGGACATCTTTCTACAAACATAATTTTAATAATAAAAATCATTTATATTTTCAGAACTTAGTAACAAATTAAATAATTTAATATAATCAATTTATGAATAATAAATTAAAGTGAATAAATAAATTCTATGGTAGTATAAAACTATTTTTATAAATAACTTATTATTATTATTATAGTTAACTAATTCAAATATGAAGTAAAGATAAATTTACAATGTACAAGTGCCACATATATTTTTAAATATCAACAAATAAGAATCTTTCCATAAAAGCGATATTGATCTGAAAACATATTTTATTTGCACACATTATATTTTTACTTCGTTAGTATAATTTAATATTTTATACGTTCTAATAAGTACATTTTGAAAAATGCATTGTTATAATTTTTTATTATTGATATGTATATTTATATGTATTACGTCATCTTTGGCCGGAAAAAAAAAACGTGTCAAAAATGTAAAAGCAGAATCTTCATCAAAATCTACGGAGGTAAAATAATTCATAACTATGATTTTTTGTTTTATATACTATAAAAGGTAATTTACATTAAATCGCTATATAAGATCTTCAATACATTTCATAAAAATATAAAAAAATAATTTCCTCAAAATGTCTATAAATTATTGGGAATTGTACTACTTACCCTTAATGAATAACATCATTAATTATTTATTGTTACACAGTTACCATTAAGATATAATAATATTATTCTTTCATCTTTTTGGCTTTATGACTCTCCAAAAAAATTTGCCGCCGCCACCAAAGCCTTTCATCTTTTCCTATCCGGGATAATATCCTTCCAATCTTCTACGTTCAGCGTTCTTAAATTCTAACTTACCCCGTCGAACCATCGCTTCCTTGGTCTGCGCCTAGGTGTTTTTCTACTTGGTTGATACTCTATGGTAGACTTTACAGCTTTTGAGCAATGATATGATAAAATTATTAATTTAGATACAAAAGTTATTAATGTCAATATACTCACTATAATTTGAACAAACAAATCATTTTGGCCATGAATTGAATGTGCAATGTCACATTCCAGACGTTAGATTATTTCATAACACTAAAAAACTTTTTACAATAAAATAAACACTAAATACAATTTAGTTCAAGAAAATGAAGAATTTTTTAATATTACAAAGTCATTTATTTTTAGATCAATTCACGTGACGAAACTAATATGATGTCACCGTCTACAAAGGTAATGTATTACTTAAATATAATAAAACGATATAAGCATAGTATAAACGTGGCATAGATGGGATTATTATAGATGATATCTGACAGTGATTAAAATCACTACCATAAGAAACAATTCGATGCAAATCTGTAGATAGTGTTTAATTTTAAGAAATTGGTGGATTATATAAAAGCAAAATTTTAACTCAAAAAAATTGAAAAAAATCATTGTCACAGACAATGATTTATACTGAATCGACAAACGTTCGTCGCATATATTTTTTGATAAAATTGGCAATTTAAGCTGATTCGAATGTCAAAATTAATTTTTTCAACTTAAAAGAAAAAAAAATTGAAATTAGTTTATTTTTATATTCTATGTCAATTAGATTTACACAATATTCATGAAAATCAGTGTACCCCCTTATAAGGTATTTTAAAATAAATTAAAATACAATACCAAGAATTTTAACACAAAAATAGCATATATTTTAACTACGAAAACCATTAGCACATAAAAGATAAGTTGTCGGGAGAATTTTTTTTATTTTAACTTTTAGTACATAACATAAGCTTTATTATAACATATACTTAAAGCTCAGTGTATTTACGGACCATTTTCAAAACTTAAGTTGAAAAAGTTTAATTTTTGTACAGAAGTTGCTATTTTGAATTCCCTCTGAGGGCTAGTAAAGAGTCAAATTTCAAAGAATTTATGACAAATATAAAGAAAATATCTAAAATATCAATATAAAAAAGAAGTATTTTGTTTTGTTCATTTTTAAATGAATTATTGCAATTTGTAGAAAAAAAAATGAAATAAATTTTGAAATTTACCTATTTTAAAAATTGTAATTTTTTGGGGGGTTTTATTATTTACTGAAAATAAGGGCAAAATTTGTAATTTTTGAGAGTAATTTCTTCAACTATATAAGATTTGTTATCTTTTGACGTATCGTTGAGAAAAATCGGTCCAGTAAGAGCTGAGAAAAAGTTTTAACAGACACAAAAAAAACCACATAGTAAAATAATATAACCATGAATAAAAAACTTCTTCTCACGAGGGGAGACTACTGTGATGGAATCTTTGATATTTATTGAAGTTACTGAATCTAAATGAGATAAAAATCAAATGATTTGAACATTTTTTACTAACTAAAAAAAATGCAAAATATTAATCGCCACAGGCGGATTCGAACAGTTTTAACAGACACAAAAAAAAAACCCCCAGAACAGTGCGGTCGTCGCACAGTGGGGACATAGCATAGTTGGGTCTAGTATAGATATAATCTGACAGTGATTATAATCACTATCATAAAAAAAACTTCGATTCAAATCTGTAGATTATATTTAATTTTAAAGAATTGGTAGATTATTCAAAAAGCAACATTAACTTCTATTTTCTTGATTATATATTGATTAGTAACTCATTCATTTATAAGTATAATATATGAATAAATACTAGTAATTTATATTTATAATTATAGCAATTAATCTTAATATGAAATTGATATTCAATAGATTTATATTGTAAATTTTACGGAGAATTGTACATAGTTTTATTTCGTTTCTTCTATGGCAAACATCTAAAAAAATTGAAGCGCTTGATGTAAAACTTTTCGGAAATAATTTAATCTAAACTGGCTACAAGGAATTCTAATCAGTAACCAAATTATACTTTTACTTAACAAATGTTTGCACTGATTTTAAAACTGCAATTAGATTTTTTTTATCTATTTTTTGAGATTAATACTAATTAGTGAAAAAACGAATATTTACATAAAAATCATTCAAAACAAAAAAAATATTGTTTTCATATTATTATAAAATACAGGAAAATAGTTCTGGATATTTTAATTGTATTATTCATTTAGACACCAAGTGTTACTTAGAAATTATTTATATTTCTTTTGAAATTATTTATTACAATTAAAAGTAAATTAAAAACAAAAAAAAAATTGTTTTTAAATAAAACTGATTTTTAATATGTTAAAAATAATCATTGCAAATATCATTTTTAACCACTTTTTTTTGGTCTTTTAAAGTTGATTTTTTGATGGTTTATAATAAAAAAAAGTAGAATTTGTTACCATAACTTTTGAAATTTGAAATTTAAATCATCAAATAGAAAATTTTATGAAAGTTAAAAAAATAATATTGTTCAGATTATTATGCAGTTAGGAAATTATAAATTTACTATTTATAGTAAATTTATCAGAAAAGCTCAATATTTTACATTTTTATCGTAATAGATCATTTAAATATAAAAACATAGTAATTATTTCTAAGTAACTTTTGATGTTTAAAAAGATTCTACAATTTAGGTATTTAGAACTTCATTAATTTTATTGATATACATTAAATAAAAAACCAATCAAAAAGTTGTTAAAAAAAATCTACTTAATTGAACGTATAATAAAATTTGATTATAATTGTAAAATTCTTTTATTAAACTCAGATAAAACAGAAAATCATTTTTTTTTTAGACTTATGATTTATACAACAAAATGTATCCAAAAAATTTAGAAATTTATAAACTTGTCGAAACACACACAAATAGAGTAAAAAATTAATAAGTTACAAAAAAAATGATTTAATTTTGTAGTGGAAACTTATCATATCAAACTTAATTCGACAATAAAAACTTTAAAAAGATTAGAAATTAATGATTTTAATTGTCTGCATGGAGAAAGCTGGTTAAGCAACTTTTTATTTGAGAAAGGAGATTTTTTATCAATTATAGAGGATAATATCTTAATATCAATTTGAGGATAATATCAATAGTTTTGATAATTTAATGTATTTGGCTTATTTGAATTAGCAAAATATATTTTCGTCTTTGATGTTTAAAAAATAATTTCTTTTAGTAACTAGCTTTTACTGCATAATTTAGTATAAAAACGAATTTTATACTCCTATCATTTGTGGAAATATTTAATTTAAAACAGTGATTTTGTAATTTTTTAAAGTAGCGTAATTTTGAAATATTTTTCGAAGTGTATAAAATTAAGGGTTTTTTTCAATATTTGGTGACTCTAAGTTAAACTAGATTAAAATCAGGTTTATTTTGTCGTATTGAACATTGAAATTAGTCTAGTTAGAGCTGAGAATTATTATGGACAGGTATAAAAGAACGCACAGCATTACAAAATCTTTTTAGTTTCGAATCGAAACCAATAAAAAGAAGTTAAATGGTGCGTGTTATAAAAATTGACTATAATTGTAAAATTCCAATGTTTAATTCAAGTAAAATCCAAAATTATTTTTTTTAATATTATTTATATAGTAACAAGTTATCAAAAATTTTGAAATATTATGACTGATTTTTACTTATCTATATGGAAGAAGTTAGCTAAGTCACTTTTTATTTATTGTAGGAGAACATTTTTTCAATTTTTGAGGGCTGTTTGGGGTTATATAATAAGTGTCCTGTAATCTTATTTTTATCGGCAGCCATACGGTCGTCCATTTTTTATTAATGAAAGTATACCTTTGTACTGCGCACAGCTCACGAATGTAAATTAAACGTACAATAAATTTCGTACTTAGCGTCCTTTTTTTAGCTTCGATGCAAAGCTGAGCAGGTATTGATTTAACTATGTGTTTTTTTTTTTTGTGTATGTCTGTTACCACTTATTCTTAGCTCTCACCGAACGGATTCAACGATACGTCAAAAGATCACAAATCGTATCTAATCGAAGACATTACCCTCAAAAATAGAAAAAATTTCCCTCGTTCCCTGTAAATGGGAGAAACCTCCCCCATTACAAATTTAAAAATCGTCAATTTTTTCAATTTTTTTACTAAAAACTGCCATAACTTTTTTAAAAATGAACATATCAATATAATTTTTTTTATATAGATGGATGATGTCTTTACCTTTCATTTGGTCTATTTTTTTTTATATGTGACCCTTTACTTGCTCACAGGGGGGGATTTAAAATGACAACTTTTTCACAATAAATTTATATAAAATAAGGAACTAGCTGATCATGTAGCCCTTGGAATAATCCACCAATTTTTTTTAATTAAACACTATCTAAAGATTTGCATCGAAGCGTTTTTTTTTATAGTGATTTTAATCACTGTCAGATATNTTTAATGTACTTCATTATGGAATAAAAAAATTTGACCTCTGGACTTGTCTTCATTTGACTTGCCAATTTTTTCAATTTTTTTACTAAAAAGTGCCATAACTTTTTTAAAAATGAACATATCAATATAATTTTTTTTATATAGATGGATGATGTCTTTACCTTTCATTTGGTCTATTTTTTTTTATATGTGACCCTTTACTTGCTCACAGGGGGGGATTTAAAATGACAACTTTTTCACAATAAATTTATATAAAATAAGGAACTAGCTGATCATGTAGCCCTTGGAATAATCCACCAATTTTTTTTAATTAAACACTATCTAAAGATTTGCATCGAAGCGTTTTTTTTTATAGTGATTTTAATCACTGTCAGATATCATCTATACTTGATCCAACTATGCCACGTCACCACTGTACCGCGATCTCCCTGCGCTGGGTTCTTTATTTATTTCAATACCATTTAGTAATAAAAGATTATGCCCAAACAAAGGCAATAATTTTCACTAGATACTAAATGTGATCATTCGACGTATAGCTAAAAAAAATTATCAAGAAAGGGATAAAGGTAATAACAGACACAATAAAAAAATACCTTTATAGCTTCGCATCGAAGCTAAAATCTTTAACGCCTCCTCTTTGAAAAAATCGTCTAATTGCATAATTGCATTATGCTGTACATNATCAAGAAAGGGATAAAGGTAATAACAGACACAATAAAAAAATACCTTAATAGCTTCGCATCGAAGCTAAAATCTTTAACGCCTCCTCTTTGAAAAAATCGTCTAATTGCATAATTGCATTATGCTGTACATAATTATATCAATAAAGTAGCATTATTGATTATTTATATTAAAATTTGCAACAAACAAAATTTCTGCCTAAACCTCATTGACAATAAAAAAAAACCTAAAAAATAGTAAATGATCAATGATAAGCATAAAGCTCAGAGGTTTTATTATTATTTGTATTTTTCTAGGATAATATTAGTAATGAAGAAAAGTTGATAGAATGTATTAATAAGGTAACATTGCTATAATGCTATTATGTTTTCAACTTCATAATCTGAATAATTTTTTACAATAAATTAAATAATAAGTACTATTTTGTTCGTATTATTTTATTATTTCAAATTATTTTATGTTTAGGTCAATTTAAGTGACGAAACCGACATGAGATCATGGTCTACAGAGGTAATATATTACTTGAATATAATAAAACCTCTAGCATCAAAAATTACATTTTTTTTGTGTGGCTTTTTGGGTTTAATATTTTTAATATAGTTTTAATTTAAAAAAATAGCATTATTGTTTATTTATATAAATATTTGCAATAGATAAAATATATGTCTAAACCTTATTAACAATAAAAATAAAAATATTCTAACAAATAGTTTGTGATGAATGATAATCAAAAAGCTCAAGAATTCGTTATTATTGATATTTTTATAGGATAATACTTCATAGAATATACAATATACTATAATTACTGATATATTAATATAGTGAGTATATATTAAACAAATTAATTTTGAAAAATTTTACAGGAAGAGAATTTTACACCAAGATTACTACCGACACTTTTAAAGGTATTGATATGCAGAATAATTGATTTAATATTTACCAACAAATATCTCCCAATTATAAAATTTTTAGATGTATAAATTAATTAAACAATAGATTTCTATAACTAATGATATATTAGTAAAGTGAGTATATATTAAAAATAGTTATTTTTTAAAATTTTACAGGAAGAGCAAAGTATACCAGAAATACGATCTACGCTTTTAAAGGTAATATTATAGTGCAACATTTAATAAAATATATAATAATTACTTTCCAAGGCTAAATTTAGCTCGTATTTATTATTATAAGAAATTTATGGGCAGCATTTATTTTTACACAGAAAAGATTGAACAAGTTTACTACATAAACTATTCATTAGTTTTTCAAAATTAATTTAGTTATAGAATTGTCTTAACTGCACCTTAAACTATTCCTAATAGTTTTGATTATAAAAATAAGAATTAAAAGAAGAACAATTCTACAGAACACTTTTCGTATCAGAATTGACGCCTATACTAGGGTCCCAGGGATATTAAGCACCCTCAACTTAAAATGAGAACTGCCAGAAATTTTAAACAAGACAAAAGTTTCATGAGGGTTATGATAAAAATATAATACATTATTATACATAATTCCTATAATTTATTGAAGTACTGCTAAGTAAACTGATTACCATATAAAATTTTTTTCTCTTCAATATTGTATAATGTTCCAAAAACCTGATTTTTTTAGCTTCGATGCGAAGCTGAGAAGGTATTAACTTTACTATGATGTGTTTTTTTTTGTGTCTCTTACTAATTTTTCTCAGCTCTCACCGAACCGATTTCTTTCAACGATACGTCAACATCACAAATCGTATCTAGTCGAAGAAATTACCCTCAAAAATTGAAAAAAATTAGAATTAGATTAGATTAACATTGAATTTCACATTATATATATACATAATGTTACATTTTATATAAAGGAGATACATAAAGTATTTTAAAATAGATTAGATAATAGTGCACATATTCAATTTCATTGTTTAATTGCTAAAAATATAGCTATTGTTATACACAACGAACTTGATGTTTCATATATTAAATTTAATAATTTTGGTATTTGAACTCGTAGCCAAAACTTTATAAGAGAATAAAATCTAAACGAAAATTTCACCCTTTTAACATAATATTATCAAATTCAACGAGGAAAATTTGGTTTTTTTCATAGTTTGTATTAATAAAAGTTATAAAAAAAAAAAATTTTTACAATTTTTACAAACAGATCCAGAAAAAAATAATTTTTTTTATTTATCTTTATGCCATTGTGAAATTAATTTTAAATACTCCCCGTTATATATAATATTATCTATTTGTTGTCATGTTTAATACATCAACTTAGATTTTGCAATAACATAAATTTGTGCTATAGTGAGTATCATCGTCAACTCTTATACAATCCACCTTTATTTCACAAAAGAACCATTTTCATAATTACACCGAACCGAAAAAATAACTATGAGGTCGATTATACAATATGTATAACTTCAACGTTACAAATATATCAAAATATTAATTTCATTAATATTTTATCTATTTTATTTAAATTTTATAATAAAGCAGAGTGATTTTTTAGAATGATATGACAGATGAGCAAATTGATTTGCTGACTTCTATTTATAATGGAGCGACTTCTAATGATACGAAAAAATTAACTATTGACGATTTGAAATCAATTTTTGCATGTTTTAGTCAGGAAAATACTGATGAGGAATATGATATTATGATGAAAATTCTTGACTCTAAAAATGGTAATATTACAAATTTAATTAATAGATTTTTTCATGAACCAGTGGCAGTCTTAAATTATTTTTTTGAGGAGGGAGGAAACAAATTTGCTATAATCATCAATTTGTAAGTTTTTAACATTTTTATCTAAATAACTTTTCCGCAAACAAAACCCAACCTTAAATACATTAATTATGAAATGTTTTAAATATTTTCAACAATTAAAAAATAATATTTTTTTAAATACCGATTTCAAAATTCCTTAGAATGTAAAAACTATTAATAAATTTTAAATCAAAAATATTAAAACAAATATATAAAAATTTGCTCCCTTTGTATTCCCAAATTTGGCTAAATTTAATAATCTTTAAAACACAGAGAAAGAAAATATTAAATGTTTTTTTTGTTTTATATCGAAGATCGATATAAATTAAGATAAACTAACTTTTATTTCAGTACACTGCGTGCCACACTTCAAACGTACTAAAGAGATAGCATTTTTTTAATTTTTCAATTTTATTATATTAGAATTTGTTAAATTTTGTTCCTTTGTCCCTTCAAACTAGATGTCTAAAATCAAAGATTTTTTGAATTTAAAATTAAGACAATTATTTATAAAGTCAACGATTTAATAATTAATGTTAATTTGTCTATTTTTTTTAATAAACTAAGGTAAAGTTAAACAGAAAAAATCCCATTTACTTTTAACAAATTTAGTTAAGTTAATGCAAAGAATTGTAATTTTTCAAAAATATAAGCACAGAGTGGTAAACATTTTTTGAAAAGGTATATATAAATTTTTTATTCCTAATTTTTTTATTATGGTGCAAATCAATTTTAAACATTTTGGGAAAGAAATCCTCAGTATAAGGTCTATACAAACTTATTATTATATTATATTATAAATAATTATATTTATCTACGTACGTGTAATTCAATAACTTTTTAATAATTACAGACGACGAAACAGGACTCAACAAATTTTTGAGTCTATTTATATTAAAGAGTAGTCATATACAAAAAGAGGAAGTATTGACGTCTACACGTAAAAAAAAAGATGTTGATCTTCAATGTTTTAGGTATTTGACAAATTCAAAGTCCTACATGGATAGTGATGATACAAATCGTATAGCTAAATTGGCAAAACGTTTGCATATTAAAACTACTAATATAGAAAATTTTAAAAAATATGTCGCAGAAAAAGGTCAAATTTCTTATGATGGTAATTTAAGAATATTACACTTGAAACAAGTGAACTCATTAGCATTAAATGTAATCTATAAGGAATTAAATTGTATTGTTCCTATTATGAATTATTACAAATGAGCGCATAGTAGATAATTTTATTATACCATTTAAATTTTAATGGGCCCAATGAGTTATCACAAGAAAAATTTATAACAATTTAGTTTTTATGCATAGAAAAAATTGTTTAGATTAGTAATTATTAATATCTTACAGTGATTAAAATCACTGTAGTAAAACATTTCATTATGTATTTGTAACATATTAATAAAAAATTTAACATATCTATCAAAAATTACATAGTTTTTGACTTAAGAGGTTAATTATTCAAGGAAGATAAGTCAAACTTTTATCTTTATTAATTATAAATTAAATTAAACTAGCTTCAATTTGAAACAATTAGAATAATATAAGTATTACGTTACTATCAAAAATATTTCAAAATTGGCTATATTTTCCGAAAATTTTTAATTTGAATTCAATGATTTTAAATTAAATTTTCTAAATTAATTAATGAATATATTTTCGAAAAAATATGATGAAACAAAATACCTGTCTTAAATATTAGCACTTAAAATCATATTTTTAATGGACCCTATTTCAAATAGTTAATCCCAAAAATTACATGATTGTCGAAATTATAGGCTGATTTATCAATGAGTAATGTTTTATACTCATAAAAGACAAGCAATCGGAACGTTTTACTTTTTTTAATCGTACAATAGATAATATAATCCTAATTTTTATTTAGCTTTGAATGATGTAGATTAGATAATCTGTTGCTTACAAAAAAATTAATTATGCAATTTTAACAGAAATATAGTAATTTTTGGCTTTAATATCCAATAGATCCTAGAAATTGAGATTTCTCTTTGCATCTTCAAATACATTAAATTTAATTTAATTTAATAGAGTATAAGAGAAGTTTAAGTTTTTCAAATATTATAAAATATTGAAAAAAAAAAATTATTGTTAATTTTTTAACATCCACTATATCTAAGTTAATTGCATATATCTATCGTATTATCAATAAAAATTTCGTAATAGTCCAATTTTCAAACAATTATTTCAATATAAAGTAAAATCTAAAAATAACTGTTTTGTAACAACTGTAAATTTTGAAGACATTTCTCATTTTTATAATGCAACAATTTCAAATAGATACATTTTATGATCTTTTGACATATTGTTGAGCATATCAGTCCAGTAGGATTAAGAGTATTCAATTATATGAGAAAAATAACACGGTAAATTATAGTTTTTTAGCTACCTACTTAATATAAAAATTATCCAAAATCTAATTTTAACAGTTTTTAAACCCAAAATCACACAATTTTGGTTAAATTAGATTATTTCTTAATAAATTCTTTGAGTAGCAACAGAATATCTATTTCACTCAAACTAAAATAAAATTAAAGGTTTGTTCAATGTTACATATTGACTTATCATTAATGAGTTATTGGCATCTGAAAAGCCAATAACTGGATTGTTCATTTAATTTTTGACGGATAAATAGACTGCTTTGATTATTTTAATANTTGACGGATAAATAGACTGCTTCGATTATTTTAATAATATTCGGATTAAAATAAAATTTTCAGACGTAATTTTTAAATCAATTACCTTTGTTTAAACATATATTTTATGAAAATTCAATCATTAACCTAAGTACCGCGGGGTCTTAAAAATCATTCAATTTTCGTAAAAATAGTAAATTATGTGTATAATAATTTGAAATATTTGGCGTAGTAATGGGATATTTGCATCATTCATTTGATCATTAGATAATCAGTTTATCATAAACTAGTCCATTACTCACATAATAAATACAATATTGGAAAAACAACTTTGACTTTTTTTAGCTATATATAAATCCTGATTTATCAGCTAATAAACACTTTTTAGAATATTCCTTATAACGTATAGGGATGTCAACTTTGATCAATAATTAAGAATTTAAAAAAAATTTTAAGTTTAGACTGATGGTGAAGGAATCTGTGCTGATATTAATATCATTAATTATTATCATGTTGTACTCTTCATCCTTCCTAAGTAAAAAATTAGAATAACATCGAAAGTACTGGTCCAAAAGTTATTATTGACCAGTCATTTTCTTAATTAGATTATTTTCTATTTTATAAGCTAATTAAATATATAAGTTCCTTTTTTAAAAATTATAGTTTGTTTCCTTGAGTTATAAGAGGGATGGTTCTAAAAATTTATTATTAGCTGATAAATCAAAAATTATATGTAATTAAAAGAAATAGGAAATTGGTTTTACAATATTATGTTTATTTGCGAGTAATAGAATAGTTTATGATAAACTATATATGATTAAAAAAAGAAAAATGTCCTTATTAATTTTTGATAAGACTCTAAAATTTTTATATTTAATAATTCTCAAATACACTTCAAGCCTTTTACAACAATAATTTTATTGTATTTCAGTTATTTTCAATACTACGAATAAAGGCCAAAAACAATACTTTTATTCCTTTACGCTAGATCATGACTGTACTTAACTTTTTTCAAATATAACGATTATAGAAAAACTTGATAAAAAATGATAAGAACTGTCTCATAATAAATTGTTTACATAATTTTATTAAATAATAATATAATAATAAATCATACGTGAATATTAATAATTAATGAATAGACATGATTGCGCCGCTTAAACTGTTTCAAAAACCATACCAAAAATAAAGGGTAAATCAAACCTTGCCATATATCTTATAGAAGGGCAACCAATAATTAATAAATAGTTTTTGATTAATGTAAAATTGCCAAAATAAATAAATAAATTATCATTAACACAAATGCAGACTATTTAGCTTAACAAATAGAAATATTTATTTAAATACAAATGCTGACCAGAATAAATTTGCTTTTTGTAAATAAATGAAATAATAAAAACTTAACTATACAAAACAATAGACAACAAATTATTTATGAAATCAAATTAACATATTACATGATTAATTAATTATCTAATAATCTATTACCTGCAGGTTTGACATACTACAATTATATCAAAAATAATAACATGAATATATCACAATCTTTGTAGTAGGAGCTTTTGGATTACAAAGTAAATTTTTAATGCTAAATTGACGATTTTCTTGTTGACTATGCTTTATAATCGAAAACAATCATGAACATTAGCCGATATTAAATCTATACAATTATAATTTGATAGTAATACAATGATAAACTTAAATTTAACTTACTTAACACTTGTATATTAACACAATTTAAAATATTTAAATCATAATGAAAAAATACAGTTTAAAAAACTAAATTTAACACGTTTTTAAACTATATTTATTTTTCACTTTTTAGTTTTTTATGAGATCGCTGTCACAGTCACGAAGTGTTTACAGTCAATTATGACTATCAATAGATATAATTTCTGTATTAACAGTTAGTGTATTTACAAACTCACCTATATACCTGCGAATATCGTCATAAAAAACCAATTAACTACATGAATTTGTAATCCCTAATGTATTATACATATACAGGGTGTTCAGTAAGTCAGGAAACGGGTTTCTATTGTTCTCATTGTTACAAACAATGAGAACAATAGAAACCCGTTTCCTGACTTACTGAACACCCTGTATATGTATAATACATTAGGGATTACAAATTCATGTAGTTAATTGGTTTTTTATGACGATATTCGCAGGTATATAGG